GGCACTGGCAGAGCTGTTGGGGGGGCCCAGGGCTGGGATAGCAGGGGGCTTCTGGTTTAGAAGGGGATCCAGCCCCCACCCCTCTGAGCCCTGATGTAGCAGGATGCAGGAGGGTTGGGCGGGTGCGGGGGGCCCTTACCAGCGCTTGGAGACCTTGCTGTAGGCGATCTGAGCCGAGACGTTCCCAGAGTGATCGTGGTTCCCGGCCAGCACGTACCACGGCACCTTGCGCAGCGACTGCGCCTTGAACACGGCCTCAAAGGTGTCCTGCCCCGAGAGAGGGGTTGGCAGAGAACGTGTTCACATCTGGCGGCGCCTGCCGAGCCTTCCCCGCCCCTGCGCACTCATGGCTGTTATTTGGAACCCAGTTGTTCCCCGGTGAGGGGGGGGACCATGAAGAGATTTACCCCTCACGTGCCATAACCCCCAATGCACCCACGCCCACCACTGCAGCCAGGGGACTCACGCTAGCTGGTTTCCTGTTTTGGTTGACGTGTGCATCCTGCCAGGGCCACACAGGGGCGCCGCCTCCAGTAAAGGGGCTGCGGCAGTGTAGTGACACCCCAAGATTTTTTGGGTGCGGAGGGTAGAGGGCTGTCTCTACCCAAGGTTCATCCTGCAGTTTCCAATGGAGATAGGAGTCTCCCTGGCCTAACCCCCATACCCCACCCCAGAGGCAGGTACTTCTCAGCACCGGGCAAGGGATCCCTGTATAAACAGCCCCCGCTGCGCCCCACCCCAGAGGCGGCCGCATCTCAGCTCAGGATGAGGGATCCTTGCAAAAACAAGTGTGGGATCCCAGTCCCTGTGTGCTGTGGGGGGACCCCAAGGACTCCCTACCTGGAACCTCTTGTCGTTGACGTCCCGCACCCCGTTGTAGTAGAAGTTGTCGCCGAGGGACAGGATGAAGTCGGCGCCCAGCGCTGCCACCGTGCGGCCCATCTCCTTGGCTGTGGCCACCTCGCGCACCGTGTGGAAGGGGGGATTGGACACCCCGCCCCAGTCCCCCAGGGCGATGAAGCGCAGGGCGGAGCCGGAGGAGAGCGGGCTGGCGTAGGGGGTCGGCAGAGCCGCCAGGAGGAGCGCGGAGAGACACAGGTAACCCGCCATCTGTGGGGAAAGGGGGGAGATGCAACCACAAGCAAGAGGAGGCGCTCTGCTCTGGGCCAG